TAGCAATAGTTAATGTTATATGGTTTTTGCTAGCGCTGTGTTTTATAACAGCCTTTTTTCTCTGTAAATTTTCCCTGAAACTGCCTCGCAGCCTCGAGCACGTGTTTCAGGATTTAATCCGATATGGAAAAACTAAAGAAGACATCAAGCGCCCAAACTGGCAGCTTGTTTTTGACGTATCAAAGAGGTGATTCGGGATTAAATGTAGTTTTAAATGACTCTGTGTATTCCCCAGATATCATGTTTTGAGCATGTCAAGACTCAAGGCGATTATGCAGGAAACATTTTCTCTGATGTTGTCTTTAGGTGTTTCTATCATTTCTACGCGGCGTCTGTCATGTGGAATGGGCTCCTCCTACTATTCTCCATACGTTCTGTCGTCATGAATGAGGCTCTCCCTGATTGGCTAATAGACGCGCTTTGGTGTTTGACTGGCAGACCAAGAGTTGCTTGGAAAGGTACTGTAGGCTACTTCGAATAGCAAAGAATGTTTTCCCCTCCCACTTCATCTTTCTTTTTTAAACAATGGCAACCGGTTCGTTACTATAGTAAAACCGTGAAAATAGTTACCAAATCAGGAAAATTCTGAATGCTCTGTATATACACTGTTTAAGGGAGATCCTGTATTTTTTTTACTTTACATTTTTTTATATTTTTCTGCTTTAATTTGTTGCAATATACTTTACATTTACCTTCCAATAAATATTCACATGTTTAATTATGTGTGCTTTTCAGAGTTACATCTCTCCATTCTGCTTTTACAAGTGCTACTATGGGTCCATTCATTAAGACGGCTACTGGAGTGCCTGTTTGTCAGCGTATTTTCTAATGGTGTGATCCATGTAGTTCAATATGCATTTGGTTTGGGTTACTATGTCCTGCTTGGTCTAACTGTCCTGTCTATAAATGCCTCTCTGCCACAGTCAGGTTAGTACAGTTTCCTAGATCCGATCCTGTCATCATTTTGTCATATTTTGTATTTATTTATTTATAGCTAAAATGCACTTCCAAATTGAAAACTCAATATCTAATTCATGTTAACCTGACCAAAAATATTTAAGTATTTTATCAGCCCAAATGTATCTTGACGTTTTCCTGAATTTGACTATCTAATTATTTGTGTATTTGTCTCTGCAATGCCAGGGTCTCTCTTTGATCAGTTCACATGGCATCATGTAATCGGGACTCTTCTTTTCATCTGGGCATCATTCCTCCAGAACCGGTCCCTCTCACTGCTGGCCAAGATGAGGACTGACAGCTCAGGTACAAAACCGCTGGAGTTTCCTTGAGAAAAAAAGTTTGAACTAATTCTTCTTATAACATGTATTATTTATAAACTAATATTAAATCTTTGTTCCCTCTATCCAATATAGGTAAAGTAGAGACCCTGGCCCACAAGATGCCATGCGGGGGCTGGTTTGAGCTGGTCTCTTGTCCACATTACTTGGCTGAGCTTCTGATTTATGTTGCCATGAGTGTTTGTTGTGGCTGCAGTTCTCTAACCTGGTGGCTGGTGGTACTGTATGTACTCTGTAACCAGGCACTGGCTGCACAGCTCTGTCATGATTACTACAGGAGCAAGTTTGAGATGTATCCACGTCAACGCAAAGCTTTTATTCCTTTTGTCCTGTGATTTTTGTGTAATAAGCTCTTTTATATGGAGATAAGAATCAAATTAATAAACTATTAACTAAACAAAAACATAGATAATCTTAATGTCGCTCTTTTAAATGGGAACAGCTGACACATTGATCATGCATGTTTAATGTGTAAGGAACAGGGCAAGGAGGGAAATACACACAACATGACCGAAATGTACTGTTGCCATGACACAGACTGACCTCAAAAGGTGATTGACAACAGCTGCTTGCTTAGAGACGTTATTGTGAGACGTCAGCAAATGACTTAAAAAACACATATTAACTATCTGAAGCCAGCTTCCTCAGCGTCTAGAATTTAGACTTGTTAACACAAGAGAATCAACTGAGAGACATATGTTCTGCCTGTTTCCTGCTATTGATCAACTGGCGACAGTGTTGTTTGTTTGTACATATGTACAAGAACATAGGACAAACCATAAGCAAATACAAATAGAGAAAGGTTAACAATTATAAAATATCAATGACTAAGCAGCAGTGCTAATAATGATTAAGCAAATGGGCATTTAAAAGTATTTCAAGATTTTACACGTTTAGGAATTAGTGTCTGCATTCGTTTCAATAATCTTGAGGACAGTATTGCAAAACAGTGTAAAGAAGTGTTTATGTACCCACAATTGTTCAGACAATTTTCCCTTAGAGAAAAATAGATTTGATCTTCTGTGTACACGTAAGACAACTATATGAATAACGTCTAGCAATATTTGAACTTCGTGGTGTAAACAAGATGGAATTTGCACTTTAAGCAAACCATATCTACTACCATTTCCAATCAGCTTCTAATAATTACATTTCAGAAATGTGTAACAAAGAGAAGGCAAACTCACGTCTATAAATTATTCCGTGAGCTGAGTCTCTAATCTCATATTTCCCTTTTGCGTTGCAACTCTACCTACCTTGAAGGCGTTCTTAACACACGTCATTGGGAATGGCGTTTCGACCAATAGTCTACCTCAATTTCAGTGACGTATACCTCTACGTACACGTTTATCTCCCAGGTGACCAATCGCGGTGAGTTTTCAACCGATAGTTTGTCTTTGCCTTGGTATCGGCCTCTCCGGTGTTACGAGATTTTCTGTTTCAGTGGGCGGAGCATACATGAATATTCATGAGATTCCCAGACATGCGCGTGGAACCAGGTGGAACTGAGAATTTCAGTTCACGCTCCTTGTATCTCAGCTGGTTTAATGGCATATTTTAAAAAAGGTAAATATTTTACAGCGTTGCACAAACCTATGCCTAAACTAAATTTGTTCATCATTTTGTAACAGTTTATAATGTTTTCATTAGCTTGCACGTTTTGTGCAGTCGTCGCTGACTGAATGATTGCAGGCGTTCAGCACACTTAGTTGTAAATGACTTTGATTTCAGTTCGTTGTGCTGTTGCAATGCTTTAAAACTGTGTCTGTTGTTAGTTGTTTTCATTTAAATACAACAGCTGAAATAAACTTGTATTTGTGGATCGTTTTCATCTATCCTGGTGTAATTGTTCTTAAACTTTTAGGCTGTATTTACAAAATCAATAGGAATCTAAGACCACACACAAGCATGAAAGTGTTCCTTTAA